GTCCTTAGTTTGAGTTTGTGAATGGGCGAGGTGGGTTTGGCCCAGCCCATTTTATTGGATTGGATTAGGCTCAATCGGAAATGAATCAGCCCATCTTGCCTTAGTAACTTATTTTCTAAGGTCTACTTTTTTGAGGAGCCCCACAAAATTTATAAGTGCGTGCCATATTATTTTCTATTTGTTAATTGAAATTACAAAAATCACCTGGAGATTTCTTTTATCATCAATTCTCTATCAAATACTAATTGTTATCTAAATTAAATTCTAAACGGAATTCTAAATTCATTACAGTTATAAACCATAACAAACATATTCATAAACCAATTGAGAAACAAAGTAATAGAAATCGATTGAAAAGACCTAACTTAAAATAATGATCTAAGAACAATGGAACCAACTTAAAAGACCCAACATAGTATATAAATTTTTATTATACCCATTCTTTTTGTGAGTTCCTCTCACTATAAATTATTTTCCACAACCAGTGAACTATAAACTACAGTAGAAAAAATTACATCCAAAATATGTAAGCGAGTTTAGTGATATTATCCAAAAATAGTGTAGAATACTATAAACTCAAGGTTTGTTTTAAATACCAACAAACACAAGTCTTTGTATTTTATTATGAGAAGTGTTAGTCTTACAAAGACAAATACAAATGGGGCATATAAAGATAACACTTACTCTTGATCTTCATGATTTCTCTCTCTCTCTCTTGCTCTCTTTCTATTTTTTCTTTGTTTTTTTCTTCACTTTGTAACCTTCTTTGTATAAGTCTTTATAAGGATCGGATTTTTTTATTATTATATATACACCGTTTAGATTAGTTTTGTAATACAGTGCTTTCAAAACTCATGCTTTCAATGGAAAGACTCCGTCTTCGTTCTGTCTTCCTCTTTCTGGCATCTGGTGGAAATGTTATCTCGATCGATCAGTTTCTTCTACTCTATGCCTACTAAAAGCTTAACCATGCCCTACCACCAATAGTAGATTCTCGCCATATATTTCTTCTTCAACAAAAAAAAATCGCAGCTCCTAGTCCGACGCACTCTCTCTCTTCAATGGCACTAAATCCAGCTCTGCCTCTTCTCCTCCCAAACCCACCGCCCGTAAAGCCTCTCTTTGTTAACCAAAACCAACACAATCCTCAATCCACAAAGCCCTTATCACCAAAACGGCAAGTTTGTTTAACTAGAGAGGTTGCTGTTGGGAATGAGATAATTTTGAAGCATTCATATTGTTTCTTCTCCGCTTTTGTGAGGTGCAATTACATTTATTTAAAGGAAAATCTTTCAGTATCCTTATATAGCTTTTACCATTTAATTTAGATAAATCTGTTCAGCCGCCTCTCCTTGACATTTTGGCCTAGTAAAAACCAAATAGTAAATAGTATATGATATGATCCTTTATTGATGTTATTCTAACATCCCATTAATAAATAAAATAAAATTTATATATTTGTCTCATGTCCCTTTATATTTATATATATGCATGATGAATTTATATTGTCTGAATCATTGAACACTAAGATTCATTGGTTTTGGAAAGTTCATTGTATGACAATGAGATTCATGTTCATTCATTCACATGCAACTCTAAAAGGGGACTCCTAAAGGAGAAGAAGTATCCAAGAAGAACTCTAAAAGTTTCATCAAAACTTATATTAAAGAAATTAAGATAATATTACTAATTCAACATGAATAATATAATCAGTTAAAGGAATACAAATTTTTGAATCCAAGAATTGTGACTCCTAAAAAGAATAAAATATTGGACTGTGGGCTCTCTCATCCTCTCCAATTTAGGTATGAAGATCAGTCCAAAACAAACCCATCTCAGAGTTTAATATTTGCCAGAGATTCGGCCTAATATTATAGAAATAGGCTTCATAGAAATCCAAAAACTGAGTTGGGTTTTTGAGCCCACTTACTGACCCATTTCATGTAGATCATTCAAGCTTTGGCATGATGTTATCATCTAAAATTCATTTTTTAATGTAGATCAAACTAGTAAACATACTTACATGTTTTTGTATTATACAAATAGTACAGATTGTTAATTATACAAATGGTTACTGTACTTTTTTTTTTTTTTAATAAATGTATCAAATTGTAATTTTGCAATAAGGCGATTGTGAATTTCCGTTTTAATGTATTATTTGTAGTATCAAAATAGAGCTTGTGGTCTTTTTTCACATATGAGTTGTGAAATTATTTTGTTGATGAAGATATTAAACTATTAACACTACATACGTTGCATTCAAAATAAGAGAAAAGAAAATTATTAAAAAAATACATATATTCAATTAAGTGATTTTAATAAAACAATTAAGAAATCCTAGATTACACCGTGCGTTTAAACCCAAATATAATGATACAGTTAACATGAATTAAACCCAAATATAATAATACAATTAACATTTTCAAAGAATTGATCATGATTTGGCGTTGGAATTTGACAAAGAGATTGAATTTCAAAGAATTGATAAAAAACGTAACAAGTTGAAGAAAGGAAATGATAATTATAATATTAGATAATATTTGGTCAAAAATTACTTCGAAGTCATTGGAATATCTTCTAGGGATGTTGAGAGAAGCAGCATAGGAATTAATGAAATTGAGCAAAGGCAATGCAAAGTATTGCAGATATCTAGAAAACAAGGTGTGTTGAGGAAGGTTTTGAATACCTACAAAAACATTATGGTTAGTCCTCTATCTTATGAAGATGTTTGGAATTTATTCAAAACAATTGTAGGAAATTGTGTGAAAGAATATGAATTCCATGTTTGAAATAATTATTTTTAAAAAAACCTTTTCTTAAGAGTTAAATTGAAATCTAACATTTTTTTAGTTGGCTTAGTAGATAAATCTATTCGTCGAATTTCTTTTCACGTCTACTCTCTTCACTCTAACAGCTAGGGAAAGCCACTTTAGGGCTTGAGCCCCTAGCTTCCAGTCAACTCTAGTCGACTCTGCACTACAGTTTTATATATGGATAAATTGTTTATGAAAACACTGTATCTTAAATGATATATATGCTTTAGTTAAACACATTATTTGAAGCTAGCTGACTCAATTTATTAGATTCCTAGTATAGATATATGTAATGGGCTTCCCGAGAGTTTGGAATATCCTAAACTCGAATTCTTTCTTGTATATATGGATAACAAATGTCTACAAATCCCATACCTCTTTTTTGAAGAGATGAAAGAGCTCAAAGTATTACATTTGACTAGAAATCATCTATTGTCACTACCTTTATCTCTTCCTTGTCTAAAAAACCTTCACACATTGCGTCTGGACAACTGCCTGCTTGGAGATATAGCAAAAGTTGGAGAGCTTAAGCAATTAGAGATTCTTAGTCTTGTGGCCAGTCCCGTGGAAGATAAGAGTTGCCTAGAGAAAATAGGACAATGGACTCTTCTGAAGTTGCTAGATTTGAGATTATGTTTACAACTTAAAGCAGTGTCACCAGATGTCATGAGATATGCCATGGTCAACTTCACGCAGAGTCTTTTGGCAAATTAAAAAATTTGAATTTTAAAGAATGTGATATGTAGGAGCATCTCTACTCTATCTCCATGGTGAAAAACTTTCTCACATTGAAGGAATTAAAGTGACTGATTAGGCTAGGTAAGCTTCCCAACGTTTCGGCGTTGCATGAGCAAAGCAACGGAGATATTGTTCTAAACATCGATTGACAACTTCGGTCTGGCCGTCTGTCTCAGGGTGATAAGCCGAACTGGTGCACAATGTTGTACCTTGCAATCGGAAAAGTTTTCGCCAAAAGTGACTCATGAAAATTCGATCACGATCGCAAACGACGGATGTAGGAATGTTGTGAAGCTTGATGATATTTCTAACGAAAGCATCGGCTAAATCTCTAGTGTTGTAAGGATGGGCAAGAGCAATGAAATGGACATACTTTGTGAGGCGATCAACAACTACAAAAATAGCATCTTTGCTGGCTGACTTAGGGAGACCAACGATAAAATCCATAGACACGTCAGTCCATACACCCGAAGGAAGACTCAATGGCTCAAGTAGGCTAGCAGGGGAGCAGGTATCATATTTGTTGCGCTGACAAGAATCGCATTGTTCGACATGTAATATGACATCTCGTTTCATACCCCTCCAATTAAAAATAAGAGACAAACGTTTATAGGTACGAAGAAGGCCAGCATGCCCACCCACTGGGCTGTTATGAAACTCATGTAAAAGAGATTGCTTAAGAGCTGGAGAATCAGGCACCATAATTCGCCCTGCACGCATGATACAACCATCCTTCAATACGTGGCCCTCCACAGATAATGGATCATCTTTCAGTTGCTGCATAATAGGACCCAAAACTGAATCACGTTGGGTCGCAGCCCTTAATTCACGCCAAACTTCCCAAATAGGACCGGAGATGGCATGTAGTTCAGGATCCCACCCACTACGAGATAGTGCATCCGCCGCATTATTTTCTCTCCCCGGTTTATAAATAATCTCGTAATCAAATCCCAAAAGTTTAGCAATCCATTTTTGTTGCTCAGGAGTAGTAATACATTGCTCAAGCAAATAACACAAACTTCGTTGATTAGTGCAAATTTTAAACTTTCTTCCTAACAAATATGGCCTCCACAACTTAATTGCCTCCAAAATAGCCAACATCTCTTTTTCATACGTAGACCACGCTAATTTTGTAAGACCTATTGCCTTGCTAAGGAAAGCAATCGGTTTGCCATTCTGAGAAAATACCCCGCCCACACCCAATCCAGAAGCATCTGTTTTAATTATAAAGTCTTCCAAAAAATTAGGAAGTGCCAAAACTGGCATAGAAGTCATAGCATTTTTCAAATTATTAAAAGCATCTTCGGCTTCATCATTCCATGTGAACTGCCCATTTTTTAACAACTGAGTTAATGGCCGAGCAATAAGACCATAATGTCGCACAAACTTACAATAATATCCAGTAAGGCCAAGAAAGCCCCGCAACGTAGTCATTGTCTTGGGTCGTGGCTAATGAATCATAGCTTCAATTTTTCGGTGATCGACTTTCACACCCTTCATGGCAATAATATGACCGAGATACTTGACTTCAGTTTGGCCAAAAATACACTTCGATGGCTTTATATAAAAAGAGTGCGCAACTAATATATCCAATGTAATTCGAAGATGTGCAAGATGATTCGCCCAAGATTTACTATAAATTAAGATATCATCAAAAAAAACTAAGATAAAGTGACGTAAGTGCTCCTTAAAAATGGAATTCATTACGGCTTGAAATGTCGAAGGCACATTGCACAATCCGAAGGGCATTACCAAATATTCGAAATGGCCATGATGAGTCCGGAATGCTGTTTTGTGAACATCGTTAGGATGAACACGAATTTGGTGATAACCCGCTCGTAAATCAAGTTTGGAGAAATAAGCCGCACCAAACAACTCATCCAACATATCCTCAATGGTTGGGATTGGAAAACGATCTTTGATAGTCGCCTCATTCAGAGCTCGATAATCTGTACAAAACCGCCACGTACCATCTTTTTTTTTTTACGAGCAAAACTGGCGAAGAAAAAGGACTCGTACTTGATCGAATCAACCCTGTTGCTAACATTTCCTCAACTTGATGTTCGATCTCATTTTTTTGGAAATGGGCGTAACGATAAGGAGCCACATTCACAGGAGTAGACTCATCCTTTAAAAAAAATCGATGATCACATTCACGCACTGGAGGTAATGTTTTTGGGGTCTCCAAAACTTGGGAATATTCTGTTAGTAGATGCTTGATTTCATTGGCAACAACGAGTATACTAGATTGTTGAAATTTGTCTTCACCCTCAATAGACGTTAGACAGAACATCTCGGCACCCTGTTTCCATTCTTGCAATAACAAATTAGCATCGACCACCCTCGAAGGCCCAACTGATTCGGCCTTAATGAGATATTTTTTATTGTCCACTGTAAATTGCATAGACCGCAATGCATAATTATGTCCCACATATCCCAACCCTTCAAGCCACTGATAACCCAAGACGAGATCCAAACCCCGGATAGGAAGTCCGAATAAAGTAGTTTCAAAGTCAAATCCTTGGATTGAAATTGGGACCTTATCATATCTTGCATGGCACTCTAGTTTATCACCGCTAGCAATTCGAACACAAAATGGAGTAATAGGAGTAACCACTAGATTTAATCGGCTGACCATCGATTGGTTGATAAAATTATGGCTTGAGCCACTATCTATTAACGCATTAAGTTCTTGGTGATGAATCATAGCTCGAACCCACATGGTACGATTGCCCAAACTCCCTGATATAGCATGCAAAGGAATAAGGGGATCGGTTGGAGAGTCTACAGCCACCACTTCTTTTTCACCTTCAGCTTCCGATGCCAACAGAATTTCTGCATCAATTAAACATGTCCAAGCTTGACACCTATGGCCAGGGGTAAATTTTTCATCACAGTTAAAACAAAGATTCTTCTCACGCTTCGCTCTCATCTCCTCAAATGTTAAATGCTTCACTGCCGAAGTTGGTAAAGGTTTTACACTAACTGGCGTAGGATTGGACGTAGTTGGAATTGTAGGACTCGGAATACAGTTAGTATTACGAAAATTTCCAACAACCTTTTTCGTTTTTTGCAACTTCTCATCTTGACGTTTAGCCAAGTCTATAGCCCCTTGTAAACTCTTTGGTCGAAACATTCGCACCTCCACTGCTATTTCCACCTTTAGTCCACCCATAAAAGCACCAAGAAGGGCTTTCTTTGGCCACCCTGTCACTCGGTTAGCCAACTTCTCAAATTCCTGCAAATATGCCCGGAAAGAACCTGTTTGTGAAACCTTATTGAGTGCTTAATCATAATCTTCAAAATTCGTTGGCCCAAAACGACGGAGAATTCCTTCCTCAAACTGACGCCATGAAATGGTCTTCCCATAGTGGGAACGATTGTACCATTGCCACCATTGATTTGCCTCACCTTCTAAATGAAAAGAAGCTAACACCACCTTCTTCTTACCCTGAATCTCTTGAGTAGAAAAGTACTGCTTCGCACGATCGAGCCAAACAGTGGGGTCTTCTCCTGCAAATCGTGGAAAATCAAGTTTCACCCGAGAATGCATTTGTAGGGTCTGGTTCTTCTCTTTCTCCTTGGCGTTACCTTCCTCTGAACCTGTATCAGATGCTTGAGAGGAAAAAGACATTTCACTCTCACTCCCAACATAATCATCTTGCTCAGAATCCTCAGAGTTTGAAGAAGACGATCGTGACCTTTTGGAAGACTTACGATGAAGCCATTTACGACGACGATCGTTGCGACTCAACGAACGGGTGTTGGATTTATTCAACTCCCGGAGAATGGACTGATTCGTTACACTCATCTCTTGCATACTGAGATGTAAGTTAGAAACAACTTCTTCAAGTTGCTCCAAACGAACCCTGTTGGTCTTTGCTGGATCAGCCATTGACAGCGGAAGAAATGAATCGTAGACGCTCTGATACCAATTGATATGTATCAGCACCTGTGTGCTCTGCTCACGGTGCAGAACCAACCCACTCTCAATTCACGGTATTGAGAAGACCAAAGAAACTGTTTGCAAAACTCTTCCTTTTCCTTTCAAAACAACTCATGGTTACATAGGCAACTACATACAACCTCGGAAACATGCATGTCCCATAATAATGAAAAACATTAATCACAAAAGACAAACAACCAAGCAAATAAAAGTAGCAGACAAAAGGCTGATAATTGCCTGATAATAGCCAGTAAAACAATAAATGATAATGAGATCAAATCCCGTGAATCAAGCAACGTAGTCGGCCAACTTAATATTTGGTTTGCTGGTTCTTGTGCTTCTTCTACGTGATGCCGTGACCCCTTCTATATTCGTATCATATTGCTTGCTTGTAGGGGAGAGGGAAGAATTGAATTTTGTTTAAGAGTGATGATGGTGAACCAAATAATCCCTTTTCTTTTGCCTGTAGAAAATTTTTTCTTAGCATTCCAATGACCTTCTTAGTTCTTATATGATATGATCCTTTATCGATGTTATTCTCACATCCCAATTAATAAATAAATTTAATTTATATATTTGTCTCATGTCCTTTTTTTTTTTTTTTTTTTTTTTTTTTCATCACCTAAATATTTTGTTTTTTTTAATTTTTTGTGAATGGTGGCATCTCTGTTTCGAATCAAAATTATAATTAAAAAAAATGAGAATTCCATTTTCATTTTCTTATCTTAAAATTTTCAAGTTATTACTTTTGATCCATTAATCATCATTTAACTTCATGATATATATATCTCATTCATTCGCATGCTACTCTAAAAGGAGACTCCTAAAGGAGAAGAAGTATCCAAGAAGAACTCTAAAAGTTTCATCAAAACTTATATTAAAGAAATTAAGATAATATTACTAATTCAATATGAATAATATAATCAGTTAATGGAATACAAATGTTTGAATCCAAGAATTGTGACTCCTAAAGAGAATAAATATTTAACTGTGGACTCTCGCATCCTTGCCAGTTTGGGTATGAAGATCTAGTCCAAATCAAACCCATCTCGGAGTTTAATATTTGCCAGAACTTCGGCCTAACATTATAGAAATGGGCTTCATAGAAATCAAGAAAATGAGTTGGATTTTTGAGCCCACTTAGTGACCCATTTCATGTAGATCATTCAGGCTTTGGTATTATGTTATCATCTAAAGTTTATTTTTTAATGTAGATCAAACTAGTAAACATGCTTACCTGTTTTGTATTATAATTTTTCATATAGTACAGATTGTTAATTATACAAAATGGTTATTGTAATTTTTTTAATTTAATAAATGCATCAAATTGTAATTTTGCAATAAGGTGATTGTGAATTTCCGTTTTAATTCATTATTTGTAGTATCAGGATAGAGTTTGTGGTCTTTTTTCACGTATGAGTTGTGAAATCATTTTGTTGATGAAGATATTAAACTATTAACACTACATACCTTGCATTCAAAATAAGAGAAAAGAAAATTATTAAAAAATACATATACTCAATTAAGTGATTTTGATAAAACAATTAGGAAATCTTAGATTACACCGTGCGTTTAAATCCAAATATAATGATATAGTTAACATAAATTAAACCTAAATATAATAAAATTAACATTTTCAAAGAATTGATCATGATTTGGGGTTGGAATTTGACAAGGAGATTGAATTTCAAAGAATTGATCGAAAACATAACAAGTTGAGGAAAGGAAAGGGTACTTATAATATTAGATAATATTTGGACAAAAATTACTTCGAAGTCATTGGAATATCTTTCAAGGATGTTGAGAGAAGCAGCATAGGAATGAATGAGATTGAGCAAAGGCAATACAAAGTATTGCTGATATCTAGAAAACAAGGTGTGTTAAGGAAGGTTTTGAATACCCAGAAAAAACATTATGATTAGTCCTCTATCTTATGAAGATGCCTGGAATTTATTCGAAACAATTGTAGGAAATTGTGGGAAAGAATATGAATTCCATGTTTGAAATAATTATTTTTAAAAAACCTTTTCTTAAGAGTTAAATTAAAATCTAACTTTTTTAGTTGGCTTAGTAAATAAATCTATTCGTCGAATTTCTTTTCACGTTTACTCTCCTCACTCTAACAGCTAGGGAAAGCCACTCTAGGGCTTAAGCTCCTAGCTTCCAGTCAACTCTAGTCTACTCTGCACTACATTTTTATATGTGGATAAATTGTTTATGAAAACATTGTATCTTAAATGATATATATCCTTTAGTTAAACACATTATTTGAAGCTAGCTGACTCAATTTATTAGATTCCTAGTATAGATATATGTAATGGGCTTCCCGAGAGTTTGGAATATCCTAAACTCGAATTCTTTCTTGTATATATGGATAACAAATGTCTACAAATCCCATACATCTTTTTTGAAGAGATGAAAGAGCTCAAAGTATTACATTTGACTAGAAATCATCTATTGTCACTACCTTTATCTCTTCCTTGTCTAAAAAACCTTCACACATTGCGTCTGGACAACTGCCTGCTTGGAGATATAGCAAAAGTTGGAGAGCTTAAGCAATTAGAGATTCTTAGTCTTGTGGCCACTCATGTAGAAGAGAAGAGTTGCCCAGAGAAAATAGGACAATTGACTCGTCTGAAGTTTCTAGATTTGAGATTATGTTTACAACTTAAAGCAGTGTCACCAGATGTTAGGAGTTATGCCATGGTCAACTCCACGCAGAGTCTTTTGGCAGATTTAGAAATTTGAATCTTAAAGAATGTGAAACGTAGCAGCATCTCTTCTCTATCTCCATGGCTGAAAAACTTTCTCAGATTGAAGGAATTAAAGTGACTGATTACAAGAAGCTAAAAGAAAATTTCGCTGAAGCGCTTGAGGATCATGTCCACCAGACACAAAGCAACAGAAAGGTTGAGTTCACCCAATTGCATTACCTAAAGTTGAAATGCCTACCACAACTCAAAAGTTTTGGCTTCAACGTGGAAACTAATGTATCCAGAAAAATAATAGCAGAAAATCTTCTTAATTTAGAGGCAGGAGTAGGCAAATCTAGTGCTAAATCACAATGTGGACATAAAGCTGATAAGTTCATGAATTACTCTGCTCTGACCATGTCCAGGGAAACGGTTGTAGAGCTTCAAGTATCCACAAGGTCCTCTCAATAAAACAAAATAAACATTCCAAGCCTTAAAAGTAACATGAAACAATGAATTCTAAAATGCTTCTAATTATCCACCAAGTTAAGAATTAATGAATTGCAAAACCAAACAACTACTGTCTAGAAGCCAACCTGCACACTACCCTTTTCAAATAATATGATAAGACCAGAGCTCCAATACAGAAGACATCACAAGTAAAATCATTTCACTCGTTCTTGTTAATGTCCTGTGTATGAATTCAAGTGTAATAGTTTTCCAAATGACCATATAAAATCACGCAGTATTGGTTTGAGCAGCTTAAAATATGTAGCTCAAGCATACAATGATGTGACAAAAACATCTATTACAAACAGTGAATATTGCAATAAAAGTTCATCAGTTAAAACAAGTATTTGCATGCCATCAAGGGATTAGATAGACCTACTTATCTGAAGACAATGGATCCAGACCTTGTTCTTCCACAAGTTGCTCCACAGCATCAAGAGTGTTTCCCACCTTCCAAATCATATTTAATTCAACATTAGAATGCCCAACCAATTAAATTCACAAAATCAAAAGGAATGAATTTAATTAGTAATTGAATTGACCACATCTAACCGTAGACCAAAGAAATGAATAGAAATCAAGGCATAAAGACTGAAACTCATACTGTAATATGCAAAAGAGGCAACATTTGAAATAAACAATCATAGACTAGAGCAAAAGCATTTAAATCCTTTAAAAAACATAAGGAAAAATCTGACCTCAATGTTTTCATTCAAAGAAGTAATCACCTGAAATGTTCCATACCAAACTGTACACCAACTACTTCAAATTTCAAACATTAACCAAAAGGAGCTGCGAGAGAGAGCAAGGGATAATGAAAAGGGCCGAAATGAAATGGGCCTGCTTTAGCAAACAAAACATCCTCAAGGCCCAAACACATGTTCTAGATTCCCATTTTAAAAGATAGCTGTTGAGTGCTGAATTGGGGGGGTTTGTCTAAACTTATAAGCTGGTCAAAACTAGTTTATAAGCTCTAAAATTAAACTGATGTTTGTTTATAACTTTTTAGCTTATAAGTTGAGCTTATAAGCCAAAAAAAATAAGTTGGGAGGGAGGTTTTTTTTTTTTTTTGCTTATAAGCACTTTGCTTAAAGTTATTTGACCAAGTATATTACCACATTATCTGTTAATTTTAAAATTCTATAGTATATCCTTATTTAATGTAGTACCTTTTAGTATTTATAATAAAATGTACTTATAAGCCACATTTTACCAAACACGTCAACTACTTATCAGGTACTTATAAGTATTTTACCCAACACGTAATTGCTTAAATTTCAAATGCTATAAGCTAATTTTAGCTTATAAGTAATTGTTGCTTATAAGCTAATTTTCATAAGCTCAGACAAACACCCCCTTGCTTAAAAGATATTGCTAATTCAATATGAATAATATAATCAGTTAATGGAATACAAATGTTTGAATCCAAGAATTGTGACTCCTAAAGAGAATAAAATATTGGACTGTGGACTCTCTCATCTCGCAATTTGGGTATGAAGATCCAGTCCGAAACAAACCCATCTCGGATTAATATTTGCCAGAATTCGGCCTAACATTATAGAAATGGGCTTTATAGAAATCCAGAAAATGAGTTGGGTTTTTGAGCCCACTGACTGACCTATTTCATGAACATCATTAAGATTTTGGCATATGTTATCATCTAATGTTTATTTTTTAATGTAGATCAAACTAGTAAACATGCTTACCTGTTTATGTATTATAATTTTTACAATTAAGAGTTAACAA